CAGTCCCACAGCTTCCCTTCTCCCTCCTCCTGGCAGCACTGGGGTGGAGAAGGAGAAGTGCTGTCTGCCTCCTGTTGCTCACTTCTGATGGTGCAGGTCGTGGCACTGGAGTTCTCCTTCCCTGTGTCTCTTCCCCACCAGGATCCTGGGTTGCTCTGGGTTGCACAGCTGGATTGGTGTCACAGATCTTTCACTTCCCTGCTCTGGAATCAATATGCAGTTGAGATGGACAGGAATGGCTTCTTTTGGGGGTCAAAAGGCTATTTTTGGGGTAGCCAAAGGTAGCTTTTCCAGGCAAGTAGGATCCCTTTTGCCTTTCCTGAGGGGATGGCTGTGAGCACTCAGCAGCACAGGGGTTTATTCCTGTAACTGGTGTTAGCCAAAGGGCTGGGCAGAACCCCTCACAAACCAGCCACACCCTTAGGGAGTGGTGCTGAGCCATTTGTAGATGCTGGGCAGGAGATGCTCTGCAGCCCATGGTCATCTTTTCACCTGCCACAAGGCTTGATTTTGGTAGATGTTTAACCCTGTTTAGGCCAGATCCTGCTGCTGTTTCCCATTGCTCTCTGCTGCAGAGGGAGTGGAGGAGACATCTGAAGATACGTGAAGGATTTGCCTTCTCTTTGGGACCTGACAAGAGTTAATACCCTGATTACAAAACCAGGGTGAGCTGCTCTTTTCCTCCCCTGTGCTAATCGTGGCGATGTTGCTGCTCTTTCACAACCCTGCAGCTCAGAGAGGGTGGGGAGGGGAAGGAGAAGGGGAGCTTCTTCATCCAGGTTTGGACAATGGTGCCTCCTGGCCTCTTCTCCTGGATCAATGCCAGTTCAGCTTCCCACGTGCCCTCCCGGCCTGTTGGAGGAAGCTGGCTCCCTTTCCCAGGAGGTTTGCTTCCTTCTCTTGCTGGGATGCTTGGCACAGGCTCAGCAGCTTAGAAAGGACACGTTTGAAACAAAATCTTGATGAAGTTATTCTAGGGAGAAGGAAATGATGCAACGAGGGACTTGTCCATTTGGAGGAAGTTGGATTTCCGTCGAGGGTGTTATCTAACCTACCTTTCTTTTTATTTTTTTTTTTAAATAAAGACTTTTCTGGCCCATGCAAGAGGGTGTTCAGCTGCTGGAAGCCTGGGGAGAGTAATTGTAGGTCATCTTCATCTGCTGGTTTGCCCCTAATACATGGTCTTGCTTCTGAAATCTTGGACCTAAGGTTAGTTTTGCAAACTGCCAGGTGTTCCCTAGCGAAGACCATGAGCAGGGTCAAGCCCCTCAGCAGATAATGAAGGGAGCAGTGACAGCAGGCTGTGAGAATAAGAAGAGAAGGCCACAGCTGAGTTAAAGGGATGTTGACTTTCCAGAAGACACGCTTGTGTTTTGCAGTTTTACCTTTAGCTGGTTGCTTGGGTGGGGTAGACGCGACCGTTTCTGCACCTTTACCCTTGGCATCCAGTCTTGAACTCTGGTCAGGGGATGGAAACAAACGTTTGCCCCAGATTTCCTATTTGCTTTCGTGGCTGCTCATTTCTGTAGCTGCACCTCAGCTGCAGGGTCGGGTGGGTGGCCAGCAGCAACACCAGCAGCAGCTCTTTCCACCCTCCTTTTGAGTCAGCTCGTGAGCACCAGCAGCCCGCTCGTGCTCCGCCGCCTCACCGAGCCTCTGACAGTGTCAAATGGTCCCTTATCAACTCGAGTGACAAAACAGAGCACAGCTTCCTTTCCTCCTGCAGACAGGGCTGCTGCAGAGGGGAGCTGGGCTCTCTGCTCCCTGTGCCACCGTGCCAGATGGGTTTGCAGAGGCTCCTTGGAGGCACAGCGGGCGTGTGGGTGTCGCCGAGGGTAGGGCTGGGTGAACAGGGTGACTGTCCTGTGTGAGAGGGAGAGGAGCTGGTGTGACTGTCACAGCCCAGACTGAGCTTGCAGAGCTGTAAGTTGAGTAAAACCATCTCACCTTGTCTCAGGTCTGACTTGGTGAGAAGGAGCAGAGGAAGCACGGGGGGCTCAGGGCAGGACTGCTCTGAGATCACCCTGGCAGCGCAGGGGGGCGATGGGAAACGGTCGCTGCTTTCCTTCCTTCTGGGCTTTTTCTTTCTTGTGGGGTGCAGCCAGGGGAGATCTAGGGAGTGAGCTCGCAGAGGGGAGGCTGGGCTGCTCTGTGATTTCCAGCCCTAGAGACTGGCCAAGCCTGGGGCAGCTCTGGCCTGGGGGACCTTGCACAAGGGGGACCCGGTGGCGGGATGCTTGGTAGGCAGCGCTGGTGGCCTGCAGCCCTTCCACGAGCAGGGTGGGCTCCACAGGCTGGAGAAACAAAGGGACAGTTTCCACTTTCTTCCTCTCTTTCATTAGCCAGGCAGAGACCGATTCAATTAGGTGCAAAACAAAATGCCAGGAAAAGGATGTTTGCTGTAGCGAGTGCTGCTGCTGTCGCAAACCTGCTCGCCTGTCTCTTGCAGCCTTTTGTTCTGCTTCTTCCACAGATAAAGTGATTCAGAGATCCTGACATGCCGCTCTGAGAGCGAGAGGTCCCCAGGGTTAGCAGGAGAGAAGCGAGGAGCAGGGAGGTTTGGCAGGAGAGAGGCTTCCCTGAGCTAAATCCTGTGAGCTGGTGACAGTCCTTGGCGCCTGGCGCCTTCAGCTGGCACCTCGAGCGCCGGCTGGGTCTGGAGATGAGCTCCCCTGTCACAGCAAGGGCTTTAAGAGGACGATGAACCTGTGTGCTAGCTGGGAAAGAGCTGCTTTTGTGCATTGCAAACGGACAGGCTGTCACCCAGGGCAAGTCCTGGGGTGGCAGGAGCCAGGCCATTCCAGGTGAAGTCTGGACCCTGGATCTTCTCCTCAGGGCAGAATGTGTCCCAGCTCTCTGCCCCACCAGTGTGGATGTCACACGCTTCTGGTGACTCCCAGTAGCTGTCTTGGAGCTCTTGGAGGAAAGGCAAGGAGCAAGAGCTGGGCTGGTGCTGGGCTGGTGTCCCCGCTGTGCCAGGGAGCTCCCCTCAGGTGTGGTGATCCCTTTCGGGTTTGCTTCGTGAGCAGCCATCTCCAGGTCCTCCTTTTGACCATCTCCCTGTGTCTCCAAAAGGGCCGTGCTCCCTTCTCACGTGGGGGAGTCAGGCTGGGGCTGCCCCAGCCTCTGTGAAGGTGTCAGCAGTGTCCTTCCCCTGCCCCTTCCCCAGACACCAGCCCCATGCACCAGCAGGCAGCCAGCTCTCCCCACCTGCTGCCCCTGGTGGCTTCCAGATGAGCAACAACTGTATAGATATTAGGAAACGTTTCTTCTGCACAAGGGTTGCCCAGGGCTGTGCCAGGCTGCCCAGGGCAGTGGTGGAGTCCCCACCCCTGGAGGGGTTTCCAAGCTGTGGAGATGTGGGGTGAGGGCCACGGGGCAGTGGGGACCTGGCTGGGGGAATGGTTGGACTCTATGGTCTTGAAGTTCTCCTTCAAGCAGGGTGATTGTGTTCTGACACACAGAGCTCTGTGGTGGCTTTTTCCTTGTGTCCCCTCACTGTGTTGCTGCATTTAACCAGCACTACCTGGCTTTGATTCCTTTACCCAAACCTGATCTCTCCCCTCTGTTCCAATCCACCCATGGAACAGGCCCCCTCAGTGACCTGTGCTGTGCTCTGTAGGCTCTGGAGCTCATTGCTGCATTTCTTGCATTTATCCTGTGGATTTGAGTTAAAGATATCACAGGACTGGCACTGTGGGGGAGCAGTGAGCGTGCCCTAGGGAAGCACCACTCTGGGGTTGGAAAAGGACAGGCTGTGAAATGGCAAATGGCACATTGGGCTTCCTGGGGGGTTTGGAGCAGGTTGAGCAACGCTGCTCATTTAAGCAACTCAAAACTGGTGTTGTTGTGTAAG